GTTGCAGAATTGTCAACGGGACCGCTTATAAATTCTAATAATCCCCCGGCAATGCGAAATCTGGAGAGCGCGGCCGCGGCGAGCGCCCGCTTCCCCGAACGGGGTGTACGAGGGAGGGAGGGGGGGGTCGACTCGAGAAACAAGGGGATATATCCGTTGGACATAAATCTCGACTAACCGAATTAAGTTAGAAGCATGGACCAAGTTTCGCCACGCCCTCGTCGCGGATGAAACGCTATCGAGTCTGCGTGCTGAAAATCTGCTACGAGATGAGCGAACGCGTCTCGGCGAACGGAACGAGGATACTGTCTTGACGTTAATTAATGCTCAGCCGATACGCCGCGGAATTAGTTCACCGGGAATTAATGTCCTTCGGAGATTTTGGCGTCCGCTCCTTTTTCCCTCGGCGCCTCATACGTTTGGCTCGACTACTGCGAAACCCTCGCGCGATTTATGTTAAGTGCGCTGGTTATATTTCTTTCGCGTAACAGCGGCGACTCCTTGAGGATTCCCGTGTTATCACTGTTTCAATTTTCTATCAGATTTCCCTTGGAAAAAGATTCGTTGATACATAAATTATTTTTGAAATCTTCGTTCGGTTCTCGTCGTAAATAAATGACTAAGTCTTGCAGGGACTTGATATTAATTTACTGCCGACGTTTTCCGATTTGAGTCATGATTAACACCGGGACCCCTCTCGGGCAGCAAGTGTCCCACCTAATGATGTTCCCGGCGCGTGCCACTTCGCACGGCATGGGGCCTATCTCCTCGTCCCTTCAATATATTTGCCGGCCGATGAGTACGTAATGCGTTTTTCATGGTTTAATGCGACCTCGACAAGTTCGCTTATTGGAAGAGATTAATTGGCTTACCAGCTCCCTCGGCTTGTGGGAATCTCCGCGAGTACGTCGTACATCATATATTAAATGATCTGGACAACACGACTCGACGATTTCATTAGCAAAAAGTTCTTCATTCGAATTACATCGACGAGTGTATCGCACAGTCTATTAATTTTTTACTGATAATTTTTCACGTACAAGGAGTCTACGAATGGTATCAGGATTTTAGAGACACTCGTCTGGAGGATCCTCCGAAACAGAATCGTGCTGGTAAGGAGGAGAAAAAACGAGAAGGAGCTTGGAAGAAAGTGTTTAATAGGTAGTAGGTAACGGGTACCTAATACATCCTGGTATCGGTTTGAGCTTTGATGACACGGGTATCGGAGCCGGGGCGAGACGGAGCGTGGGACGGCGACGGTGGCGGAAGAGGGAGGGCCAGAACTCGATATCTCATTATCGGTTGATCGTAAATTGAAGTTACCGGTGGGGAGTAACGAGATCTCCAATTATCCTCGGGACAGTATCAGTTTGCGGCGCGTACAGGTGCTAGCGCGACGATCTCGAAGGAGAGCGACACGCCCGCTCGAATTGCGAAAAACAATGTCCGAGGAATGGAAAAAAAAAGAAGAAGAAGGAAGCGACGACGGTTCCGGCGTGGATCCGACGCGGTCCCATCGGGCGCGCAGGATCGCTGGGCCGGCCTAGCTGCCTCTCTTCACGGCGGAAAATCAAAAAGCTTTCGGTTAGGTAGACCTTCGAGCACCCTCGTCCTGCTAGTACCTGACGGCAACTCTTCAGCCTCAGTTTCAATACACGGCTGGCATCGAGCTCGAGTGTCGCGGCAAGAAGAAGCAGGCAGGTGGGTGCCGTCGACTTGTATCCACTCTCTCTCTCTCTCTCTCTCCTTCTCGATACCTACTCCCCGTTGCATTCGCCGATCCTCTTCCCGTCCTCCTCCTCCTCCTCCTCGCTCTGCCTCGTCTGGTCGTTGGCTATCCCTGACTTCGCGACCGTGTATCAACGTATTGGTAATCCATAGGAATAGGAAGTTACCACGTGTCTCCCCGTTCTCCTCCCCCGATCCGAGCATCACCCTCTTCGCTTCGCCACCAGCTTGCTCCGTTGTAGTATTCGCATCGAGTCTTTCCCTCGATCTTCCTATCGATGTCCTTCTCCCTATCTCGCAGTCTGCCTCCCTCTCTCTCTCTCTCTCTCACTCTCTGTCTCTCTCGTTCTCTGTCGGTCCCTTTCCCGGGATCCGCACTCGTCGCACTTTATATATCGGCCGTCCCTCTCTCTTTATTCCCATTCCCATTCTCATCCTCTTGTTTTGGTCCAATAGTCAGTCGCCGGTCTGATCGATGATACGCCAACAGCCAGTACTGCGCATGGCCGACTAAATACAAACTCACTCCTTATTATACCGGGTGTGCCAATAAAGGGGGTGGCGGTACAGAGAATGGGAAGCCCGGGGGCCGCGGGAGACGAGAAGAGGAGTTATCTCGCTCTCCTTCGAGTCGACGAACGTCACCATAAAGGAGCCTCTTCCTACCTCGCCGCTGCTACCGCTGGTTCTGCGATGCACGGGGCCACCCCCGCTCGACCCCCAACCCCCTACCTCTCACTGTACTCTCCATTCTGCACGGCGTACCGCCTCGGTGTCTCGGTAAGCTATTCCAAGATGCCGAAGGATAATCCCGGTATACGATTTCCGATCCCGAACATCCGAGGCCACATTCGCCGGTTTTCCACCAACTCCGTTCTCGAACTTCGACCACAAAAGGAGTGTCTTACTACTTCTACGGACTTCTTCTTCTTCTTCTTCTTTTCTGTTCATTCAACGTCTTTTACCAAATGGTTTCGGTACTGATAGACACAGAGTGATTGTTCTCTCGATCAGCATCGGCCGGTCGTTTTTTTTTTTCTGAATATTATACGATCGAAGCCTTTTCAAATCGTCGACCGTGAATGGGGCGAGTGTTTATCTTGAAGAACGCCGGGGCCGTCGCCGCCGCCGCCATTCGACGCAATCGCAAGTCGTAAAGTCAGTTGAAAATCGACTAACAGCTTTATGATCAGTACCTGCAGTCATCCCAGCGAACGGTGAATAGGACGTCTGTCTCCGATCAATGAGAGATTTCCTGCTGGATTCCCTGCGACCATTACCGTTTCCGCGACTCAATCCCTTTCATTCCTCGAGCTCTCCGCTTTTCCGCTTTCATCTTTCCCGGGACGGCCGGTTATTACGTTCGATTACGTCCCCCTGAATCGCGAAACAGTTTAGTCCCACGTCAGACATTTGAAGCGGGCAAAAATTCGAAGACTCTCGACTACTAAGTAATATAAAAAAAAAGAAAAAGGAAAAGAAAACATCGAAACGTTTTATGCTCCGCGTATTTTCGTCGACAAGCCGGGTCGAGTCTTCTTATAAAAAGGCAGGTAGAGAATTTGCATGAGGATTTTTACATCGTCGGAGGGGGTGGACGCGAGTAAAAAAGGTCGGGCGGGCTCGTTCAGACCTAGGCGAAAGATAATTTCGGGGTGGCAGCGCAAATTGACAGGGCAACGCGTTCCCATTCATTCGAATTACGTTCCAATTCTGCTGGTGACTTTAGCATTGTTGCTACAAATTGGTACACGCCCTGGCCTCCGGCCCTGGACAGCCTGGCGTGCGTCCCACACACGCCTGGCAAATGATGCGTGTGCAGGTCTTTTTTAAATAACATTCGCAACAAAAATAATCGATCTAACGCTGCCTCCAGCGTCTGATAACCAGACTGCGGATTTTACGCATTTATAAAAGAAACAATCAGTGAATTATTACAACGTTTAAAGAATAGTACATAAAAATAATCTCTTTATCAATTTTAAATCATGTAACAAATTAATGTACATAAAATCGTAAGAATAGTAATCGGCTTCTAATTAAATAAAAATATTGAATTCGAACAAAAGTACGACAGAAACAAACGAGTTGAAGTCGTTTGAAGCGTAAAGTAAGCATTAGCCAGTGGAATAACTAATTCCTCGGACGTGATTAGTTTGCTTAGTTTTAGGGATGGGGGTCCGGAACTTGCTGGAAATCGAGCTCGTTAAAGTTGAAACTCCGGTTCGAGTC